TATTAATCATAATGATTTTGAAAAAAGTGGCGATTCATTTCAAAAAACAAATACTTACTTTTATCTTTTTTTCTCATTCTAAAACATGTAAATAATCCTCGACATCTGCATTTGCCGTGTGCGCCGAAATCTTACCTATTCTTATGAGTTGATGACAAATATCAGGAACCCCGGCTTGTTGTTTTGCCCTTTAAGAAAGAATAATGGAATAAGTTGATGCCAAAGAATTTGAAATGTATAATTATTTCATACCAAGGTAAGTTTGTCTTCACGTTGTTGGACCAATTACCGATTGCTTCACCTTTCTGAAAAATAAATAATGTATTCATATTCATATAATTTGTCGCTCCATTTGTGACTAGATTTGCGATTATAGTTGCTTGTGTCTGCCCCATGACACCATTACGACAATTTGGTACCATTGTATCATTGAATCCTGCGTTATTCCAGATAAATATGAGTGCCGGCATTTCGTTGTTTTCTTTATCTTTTAGATATTTTAAAATGAGATTGACAACATCTGGATTCGTGGCAATCTCTTCAGGAACTAGTATGAAAATATATATTAATTAATAAATAATTCATAAACATATCAACATCAGGGAAAGGAAATAATTTAATTGCTACTACCTTTTCTATTGAAACTTTTTTCAAGTTCTTGAAGTTTTTTTTCTTGAACTATATATTATCAATATACGGATATAAAAAAAAGGTCATAAAACTTTGTTGAGAAAAAAAACAGACGAATACCTTTATTACGAATAAATTTTAACATTATAGAATCTGGTGAGAAAAAAAAAATATTAAAAATATTGTATATTGATATATTGATATCGTGTATCACGGAAGGTCATAGAAATTATGATAAATCAATGATCAAAGCTCTCTATAACGAATCTCGTTGTAGAGAGCTGTAACAAGTAGTTTATTTTATTATCATTCGTAACATTAATTTATTTCGTGACAATTAATTCGCGTTCATTTCAATATTAATTTAATTATTTACTATATATTATTATTTATATTATCAATCTATGTAATCATTACATAAAGGACATTTCGCTAGGTTAATAAAGAATAACTTGTGTCTAAGGACATTCCTGACTGATTGGGATTAAAAATCGATAAAAGTGTGAAGCATGGTAGCCACTGTTCTGACAAAATCTATTTGGAATGGTTTATAATGTGCCATTAAACCTAGCTCCATGTTGTGTATTTTATTTAGACTTTGTAGTTATTGAATACCCAAAGTCTATATTGATATTAAGTAATTCCTTCCTCTATCATCCATCACAAATATCAAAATGAAACATCCTGCAAGACATATTCATTTTTTTTTCCTAGCAAAGTGATCGGCACACATGATTTTAATTTGATTGTAATTTAGCTTTTCTGCAATTAATGTATTATTTCATTATAACAAATATGAAAAGAAATACTAATAATAAATCCGATCAAAGCAAAACATCTGCTCATTTATATGGAGTGCTTTTATATAAGAAGAAGGATATAATAGCAATTCAAGAAAAACTTGGTATTAATATTAATACATTAAAGCAAATAGAACACGGACCCGATGGGAAAACACTTGCTGATTCATATGAATTGTTATTAGAATTGGTGGGAGATTTAATATCGATACAAGAGAATCTCAACATTGATGGTAACCCCATTCTGGCAGTGGGATATAATATTGTGGTAAATCAAAACATTAGAGGTTCTTCCGATTTATCACTTTCGAAATTATTTAATTTGCTTTTATACTTGAAAGAGGATATAAACTCAATTCAGGAAAAACTTGATATTGTCGGTTATACTAATCAAGAAATAGCAGAAGAAGCCGATAAAAATGCGAGAGTGTACCTCCAGAAGTTTGAGAAATTCCACGGCCCCTTAGAAGATGTTCCAAGTGTGATATTACAAAAATTTTGCAAAATGGGGGTAAAGAAAATTTGGTTTACTGGAGAGGGACTACCATTATTTCCAAACGTCTCTCCTCATCAATTACATGAGGTTTTCGTCAAAAAATCGGCTAACATCGGTCAGTGTCCATGTCTAAAATCAAAAGTAAAGAAGGGAAAATTATCACAGATATATATAGCATCCCGCCGTGATGTGATTGGTCGATAATTTATATTATATATTGTATATCTTTAGCCAAAAAAATAACTAATGCTTAAATATTTAATTATCTTTCTAAAGATCTTGCCACGAACAAATATAATCCTTGATCAATGGCTCGAGCAAGACTATTTAATATATTATAGCTATCCCATATTGTCCACCGGTAAAGATTGGAATAAGTGGAGGTAAATCAGAATCGGAGAATTCATCATCTGAATAATCTGGATGTTCGATTTTAATTTTTGAATTAAGTTTTTTCATCACTTCATTACTAATCCTTCTACATCCCTTCAAACTAAGATATTTCAAATTAGTACAGTTGCGGGCTATTTCCTCGACAGCTTTATTATCAATCGAACAATAACCAAGCTCAAGATGTCTAAGTTTTGGACAAGAATGCACTATTTCAGCGATACATTGATTAGTGAGACATATACATGAATTAAGACTCAGATGCTGTAGTTTCGGAGAAAATCTTGCAATTTCTATAATTGGTATATTACTGAAACCCTTACTTTTATCAAGAATAAGAAAGCGTATATTCGGACATGAATGCAAAATTGCACTGATCAACACATCAGAGATTTTTAAACCTTCCAAACTAAGATACACCATCTTTGAACAATAGAGTGGCTTTATCTCCCTACACATAACTCTTTCAAAGTTTATCAATCGTCGAGTAAGAACCCGAGACATATTTAAGGCACGCCAACTCTGCTGATAATCTTTGTTGAAAAACTCAACGCGTCGCCATAGAATGGGAGCACCGCAGTGATACCAAAGGTGGCTGACAAATAAAGCAGGATAGAGGGATCGATTGATTTCTAAAAAATATAAGATCAGTTCTAGTAATTCCGGTAAATCAAAAATATTTAATTGCGCCATTCTCAAGAATATATATTCTATATCTTTAATCGGAAAGAACAGCTAATGTTCGGATAATCAATTTTAGGCATATATACTATGGATTTCCGGATATTCTCAATTACACTTAACCTCATAACTAGTTCCATCAAGCAATGTAAGAGTTTTATTTGGGAATTCCACCGGAACCGATACTAATAGTCTAACTTCGCATTTCTGCTAACATAGAATCTATTTCTGCGATTTGGGCATCAAAAGGATTATTATTCTTAGGCTGAGATTTAGGTTCGGGTTCAGTATCAGAATCGGAATCGGAATCAGAAGAAGTGTTGCCCTCAGCATAATAATTTCCAGAATCAAAACAGTCTATCTTATGTCTCATTGCAATTCTAGCAAGTAAATTGAGTTGTTGGGTCGTTGGATTTTGACCACCGTGCACTCTAGAAGCATGCTTGCCTCCTATTTTTCTCAATCTTTTGGCTGTAATATTATATTGCTTTAAAAATTTGCCAAAAGCTCTGATATTACATTTTCCATTATCACTATATACAGGATGACGTAACTTTTTCATCGATATGGCATCTTGAATCCAAGTAAGTAATTCTCTTGCACGCTCTGGATTCTTTTCCATGGAAAGGAATTGTCGAGGCTCAGGATTAACCTTCTTTTCTCCCTTATTCTTAATATATCCTGTACAATACCAAGAATAATCGGGTTTGAACCATTCTGGAGGGTCTGATTCATCAGGTTTATAATGGATAATACGAAGAGTAGTAACTTCAGCGGGCCTCATGCTTAACATCATAATTACGTCTGCAAGATCCTGCATAGTTGGAATTTTAGTAGTATCCATATTTTGGATTCTTCTAAGTCCCTCCTCTAAGGAGAAGTGTTTAGGAGTATTAGGAGTTCTAAACGGATTGGTTAGTCGCTGTACAAGTTGCTTTTTCTGGATTTTGTTAGAAGCTTGTGTACGTTCTGGAAATTTAGCATATATATCAATTACTTTAGAATCAACTCCAGCTTCTTTTAATTCCTTACGAAATAATGCAAGATGTGAGCTGGATGCGACAATTTCTTCATCACTATCATTTTTTGTCTTGATTAAATCTAAAGCATGTAACCAAATATCCCACACATCTTCAGATTTCGCACAGTATTGAGCTCTCTCTTTGATAGTAAGTTTTTCATTCCTTTTGTCTGGTACAAGAGCTTCTATTTGATTGTCTTTGAATAGGCGCCGGCGAAGAGCTTCTTTCACACTTTTGCGGGCTTTCCAATCTGGTAGCATAGTACCAAGCTCATCAGCATGAGCACGTAATTGAAGCAGGTTTGATTCGGCCGATAAGTTATATTTTTCTAGGAACAGGTCCAAAATCGAGGTAAAGTTATTAGTTCTGGGCTTTCTAGTTTTTCGGAGAGTTGCCATGATAGATATATATCGATAAGTAGATTGTGATTGTTACATTAACCTACTTATTTTTTCAAATCGAAATTAATTATCCCAGGTCAGTATATATACCCAAAAATTGAATGGGTGGCAATTAATGTAATTCTATCGAGAAATGGATATGAGTAAGTCACGAGATCAATAAAAAGTCTTGGAATCCATAGCTCTACGAAATAAAATTACTAAAAATATAGAAGGTATCAAAGAGGATATGACATTACTTAGGCACGTAAGTGCCATTTTTTCAAATAAGAGGTCCTGGAAAAAATAATCGGTATATGGCAAGCATATGATTATACTTCATATCTAGAATCGGGAAAGTCAGATATATGATTCTCAAACCTAGCAATTTGTATACACAATTCATCCTGCTTTTTTCTGTTGTAATTCTCTCTACTTTTATATTTGCCTACATGTTTATCGCATGCATTATATTTAGACCTATTTCGCTTGCCACAATCTCTACAAGGAGTATATACTGGAGATTTACGATGGATATAACATTTTTCTGATTTACTATTTCGACCACAGATTTCTCCAGTTCTACAAATATGTGAGCAATTGTATAATTTCATCATAAGTATATATAATAAACTTCAATCAAATTTTTGGAATAATTAATTTTATTTTAAAGATTTATCTATCAATAATATAGTTTCAAAATAATACTACATATACTTTTTGTCAGATCAAACAACGCATATATACAAATCAATAAATGAGTTTATCTAGTGAATCAAAAAAACAGTTACGCGAATCATTACAACAACAGTGCCTAAATCAAAAATCGGCTGAATATAATGAAGCAAAAAGGCTTTTTACAGGTTTAACGGATCTTGATTATAAACCTGGTCATAGAGAACATACATTTTATAAATACTGGCTTGCATCTAATAGTCATGCCAGCTCTGCTGATAGAAATGATACAGCACTTTTAGATGCATACCAACCCAAAGAGATTCATTCTCAATATATAATTCGAATGGTGGAAAAAGGTTATACAGTGATTGATCATCCTAGCAAAGTTTATGGAATACCTAATACTCATGAATGTATTGATGGCAACAGGCCTCTTCGCTTAATAATTGACATTGATGCAAGACAAAAGCCTGACTCTAATAATCCTCAGCTTCCTTCTTTAGATAATGAAAAAATTACCTGAGAAGATTTGATATCTCGAATTTTAGTCGCTTGTGCAGATGCATTAAGCCTTATTCCAGATTGTATGCCTTTCTTAAATTCTTTTGCCGTAGCTAGTTCATCAAATGCTGAGAAATGTAGTTGGCATATTATTTATCCTCGTGCCCAATTCATAGATTATAGAGAACTAGGGATTCACAGAAAAAGTTATGGAATTAGTTGGGGAACCTTATTCGAAATTTATTGATATTGGCCTTCCCAAAACACATTTCAATCTTTGACTCCTTGGATCAGCAAAAGAGGGACGCATAAAAAGACCTGCTATCTCTTCCATAAAAAATGGATTTCAAAAGCTAGAGGATTATCTGGTTCAGCCTAAAGAGAATTATTCTGAAATCCTTCCACGAACCTTTTCAGAAGAAAAGCCAGCAGAAGAGGAATTTAAACCTATTGATGACGATGATGCTTTGGTTAAAGGAGCTAATTTAGCTATTGCAGAATATGGGTGGCTCCAGATTGGAAGAATCGAGAAGGGATTCATCAACTTTCAAGCACAATCGGCTAAAGAATGTCCTATATGTGACGTTAAACATGAAAAAGATCAACTCTACGGATTTATTCGAAAAAATGGTTATTTTATACTCAAGTGCTATCGGCAAAAACAGTACAAGCCAGATCACAGGGGCCTTAGCTTCGGTAAGGTATCAGACAAAGTTGAGTCGAAAGAAAAGCCTAAGTGGGGATTAATTGAAAGATTACCCAATGCCATATTAAATCCACACCCACTTGTCAAATTATCTGGAAAAATCATCAATGTAAAGGAAATGAAAGATGCACCAGAAGCTTACCCCGATTTCTTAAGCGAGAATCTCACTACAACTCTTATTTGCTCACCTGTTGCTAGTGGCAAAACAAAAACACTAAGAGAAATTCTCAATTCCTTAGCCAAAAATGGAGCAAATTTGCCTTGTTTTAACTGGGTTTCATATCGTAAAACTCTTAGCAATGAGACTAAAGCTAAAGTTGAAATATTGCAAAATTCAGGACTCCGTGTATGCCATTATCAGGAAAATGAGGGTGATTTAGCTATACGTGACTGGGATGTTATTATTGTCCAAGTTGAAAGTACCCATCGTCTCAATTTCTATGGAAGACGTTCATATGTAGTTATCCTAGACGAAAATAATGCTATCATGCGTCAAATGTCTAGTGGAGTTCATGCGCGTGAATCTGAAAATGCTATGCAGGATTATTAAAATCAGCTGTTCATGTTATTTCTATGGACACATTTGCAAATGAATCAACTTTAAACTTTTTGAGACAATATCGAGGTGGAGATATAAGAATTTTTGATAACGAATATAAGCCACGTAAAGGTGAGACTGTTAAAATTCTTTATGATCCAGATAAAGGATCAGAAGCTATATGTAGGGGTCTTAAGATGCTTCAGGAAGGTAAGCGTGTTGTCTTTTCAATGACCTCCTGCAAAAAGGCTCGAGCATTAGCTAATCAAGCATCTAAGTTGCAAAAACCAGACGGCTCATTTATCTTGTCACGTGTTTATTTTGGCCAAATGGATGGAAAGCAACGGCAGGATGACTTTGCCGATATTAATGCTACTTGGAGTGGTCTTGATTGTGTGGTTTATACAAGTACTGTAGAAGCTGGCATCTCTTTTGAAATTTCCAATCATTTTGACGCAGTTATAGGAATTAGTAATATTAATACAGGAGTGCATGCTGAAGCTTTTGCACAAATGTTTTATTGAGTTCGCGATTGCCCATATCGTATTATTTCTCTCTATAATAGTAAAAGAACTGGCATTTTCAAAGAACCAAATCGTGATCTCATTCGTGCTGAACTTTCTGCTCTGAGACCTGGCGACTTGCCAACTGCTATAAAAGGACATCGTGAATGGAATAAAATAGCCGATTGTTATACTCTTGATTCATCACCAGCAGTAGAAACCTATATTGAAGTTGAATATCAAAAACGCTTATCTGCCAAATATTTTCCTGAAATTCTATGTAGTCTCATTGCTAGCACTGGTGCAACACTCGAGTTAATTTTGGCAGAAGATACTGAAAAAGTTAATAGGAATGAAATTTCCCATACTATTAAGAATACTGAGAAAAAAATTAAAGGTGAAGATGCAGATTTAATAGCCAATGCCCCAGATATTAACCCCGATGAAGCTGAGATTCTTAAACAAAACCCTATACGCTCTTTTACTGATAACTTGACTTTACAGCGACATTATTTGTGGAAAATATATGCTTCGGGCGATATTGGAGGCAAGGATGATATTCGAAACTGGGATATGATTAATGATGATTGGGTTAAACTTTGTGACATAGATTTTGTGAAAAGATATAATAATCCTGAACCTTTAAACCATTTTAGAAGGCTGGCGTATTATCGAAGACAAGGTTTCAATGCGTCAAATTCCATAGAAAATCTAAAAATCAAAGAAGAAATGCAGTGGGAAGATTCACATGAATCTATAGATCCGTCTTCGGTTGATTTGCATAAATTTTATTTGGCAAAGCAGTGGGAAGCAGTACATAATCTTGTCCAATCTATAGGCTTTAGAGATATAGATGATAAGAATATTCTTTCTGGTGATGATGTAGCTAAGACTTTTGAGCAATCACAGGAAAAAATCGTTAAAATTTGAGAAGATGCATTATTACTCTTCGGTTTTAAGACCAGAGCTAAAGGATTACCTGATCTCAAGGCTACAGTAAAATTGATTAATGCAATAGTAGGAAATTGGTGTGGTTATACCATTAAGAGTGGTGAAACTCGTGTAGGTCCAAGAACTAATCGAGTACGGAAAAAAACATACTGGATTAATCGTGTGCCAGATAATGGAGCTGGTTTTGAAACTATAGAAAGAATAATAGCTATAAAATCAAATGATCCTAATTATCAC